TCTACCAACAAAACAGTCTTGATGAAAACTGACAGCATGTTGATTATCCAGAATAACAGGAATACTTGGTGGAAAGACATGTTACTTTTGATTTTTTTTTTTAGGTTATTTTTACAGCTGTGACCACCACAAACAAAATTTTATCTTCATTGTATTGAGATGAAGGCAGTAATCACGCATTCTGATTTCCCAAAACTCGGGTGCATAAAACCAAATCAACCTTCAGGATTAGATACTGCAGCACAAGGTAAGTGAGATATGTTGTCCCTTAACTTGGGTGAAGAGCCTTTAGCTTGAGTATGATGTAAAACTTGTCTATGGTTCTACGTTGAATCTATGCTGTAGGTACAGAGTCAGTAACGTATAACTTCGTACCCTACGCCATAGCCTGATGTGCACCTCTCTAGAAATGTAGCTACATGTCATAGTGATGCAGACCGCAACAACTATGACTGATTGCATCACATTTCCTTGTTCATTTCTGTCAGTGGCTGGACAAGCACAGAAAATCCCCCTTGTTCTGCCTCAGTTGGTTCAGTTTTTGTACAGACCATCTCCTCTGATGTCTTCTCTCTTATGTGTTGCTGTAATTTCAGTAAAAGTAACTGCTCGTCAACATGTATTAGTTTTAACCCCAATATGACCCACTTTGTGGGAACAGTTTGGGGATGGCCCGTTCCTGTTCCAACATGATTGTGCACCAGTGCACAACACAAGGTTCATAAAGACATGGATGAGTGAGTTTGGTGTGGCCTGCACAGAGTCCTGACCTCAACCCGATAGAACACCTTTGGGATGAATTAGAGTGGAGACTGTGATCCAGGCCTTCTCGTCCAACATCAGTGTCTGACCTCACAAATGTGCTTCTGGAAGAATGGTCAAAAATTCCCATTAACATACTCCTAAACCTTGTGGACAGCCTTCCCAGAAATGTTGAAGCTGTTATAGCTGCAAAGGGTGGGCCAACATCATATTAAACCCTATGGATTAAGAATCGGTTGTTGCTCAAGTTCATGTGAAAGCAGGCGAGTGAATATTTTTGGCAATATAGTGTAGATTAAACACAGAACCATAAATCAATCTTAAAGCAGTGCATACAGAACAAGAACTGCAAAGGGGATGTATTTAGTTACAGGCTATAGCTAACGTGCTGTAACTGTAGGGAGGTGTGTGCTACTGCACAAGACAGTATGAAAACATACTTGCAAAGAGAAAGGAGCACTGTGACTTTACATAAAGCAACCTTTCAACACCAGTATTCCTTGTTCAGAGCTACTTATGGATTTATTTACTGTAGGGCGACTTTGGTTCAGTGGGTAGAGCAGCCGGAGGGTCAGAGGTTCGAATCTCGGTGCCTGCAGTCCATATGTCGAAGTGTGCTTGGGCAAGACACTGAACCCCCAAGTTGCCCCCGATGGTTAAAGCCATCAGTTGACTTGGCGCCACAGATGGCTGCCTCGGTTACACACAAATTCCTTGTGTGTAACATACAGTACTTGGTCAAAAAAGGTGATTATTTAGTATGTTTATAAAGCTAGGGGACACACAAGATACAGATCAAGCATGTCGATATGAAAGCTATTGTGTATTTTGCCCCTATGGGCAAAAAACACTGGGTCATACATTTCCCATAATGCAACTCAGTAGAGTTTTTCATCAAACACCTCTTGCCTCCATCTTTACACCACATCCTAGCCTAAGTACATAAAACAGGTTTTTAGTTATCTCAGGTCCAAGCTTACTTAACCTAAAAAAAAGTTAAATTGGAGGTGTGCCCATTTGAATATAAGATGTTGAAGGGAGCATAACTTAGATCATGAGCAGGTGCTAAAGAAGGTTTCTCTACTAGGAAAACCTAGCTGAGGATCTCAGAAACATTTCCAATCTTTACTTTAATATCAAATTCAAGTTTCTACATATTTTCATACATATCTTCTGTGACCACACTGTTATTTCCTCAGTTTGGCCTGAACTTATGTGGCAAATTATGCTTTGTCTAATCTGTACATTTTATTTCTACACTGGAACTTCCCCAGGCCCACAGGAGCTGTAGCCCCCTTCAGAGTGCAGACGGGTGGCGGGGAACAGGGATTTAGTCTCTGTGTAAAGACACCTGTTATTTTAGCACATAGGGCACAACACTTGCTCTGAAGCAAGGCATGCAGAGCGGCTGCTGGCGTCAGAAACGAGGCGCAAACAGGGCACCCATTCAACCAAGGCTGGACAGCACTGAATCACACTTGTATAGGACACAGATAGACTAACTCACATGGGCACACGCACACACAGACAAAGTTCATATAAGACAGGAAGGCAGACACAATGTGATGAACAGTGTTTCTCTCTGGCAGACATAGGCAGTTTCTCACTCTTTCAGTTTTTTCTGTGACCTGCACACACACACACACACACACACACACACACTTCTTCAAACTAAATGTCCATTTAAATCCCACAGTAAAGACAGCTGAAATATGTCAAGTGCATGTGTAGTTAGTAAGATGTTTCAGATCTCCCCAAATTAACTAACTTTATAATAAATTACTGGGCACTGCTGGCCAAGGATTAGCCAAGCTCCAGTGAGCAGTTTGTTAAGCTGTGAGGAGAAGCACTGGGGATGGAGAAAGCACAGCCAAAAACTGAGATCAGCACTGGAACCTTGGAGCGGTACAAACCCCTTGCCTAGCTTCCTGATCACACATTTAGCCTTGTTACAAGTTCTCCACTGACACAAAATCCTACTCCTATTTTAGAATCTCACTTGCAGCTATTGCGTTTTCCTCTGTTGAGGTTTCTCTACTAATCACTTTTAGTGTTCAGGACATCAGCACTACCATCAGGTACACTGTTCCTTCTATTGCTTTTGTTTGCCTTACATAATTCTCTGCTCAATCTTGCCCCCTACTGAGTCATTTCTTTTGGCAGGAGTAATGCTTCCTACAGTCTGATTATTTATATACTGACTCAGGAAACACTTATCCCCTCTCCCCTGTTTGCAAAAAGAAATTAAACTGCTCTGAGGCTGTGTATTAAAAGGTTCTTCAATGTCATCAAGACAAAATAGCTTTTATGAAAATATTAACGTAATATCTTGACAAAGAGCAAATATATTTGTAGTGGTTACAGCAAAATGATCTGTCTCATGATAATTTTGGTTGACTAATCTTGTTCACAACCCTTAAAGTATAATAAAAGAGATTTATTTACTAAGTTTTCCCTCAAAACTTTATAAAGATGACTTAAAGCAATTGATGGTGCTACTTTCAACTCTCATAAAGCATTTTGTCCTTGGCTCCTTAACAAGAGACAACAACATCCTGTACAATAAGATGATCAGAGATTGCATCAGACAGGTATTTCCTCTGTTGTCTATTAATTCATTCCCTCTAGAAGTGCTTCTCTTCTAACTACTAGTGGCATGATGGACCTACAAGAGGAAGTCAGCACATGCGAGGAGAGGGCATCAATCCTCCTCTGGCATGCCAAAGAAGAAATGACACTCAGATGAACTGACGACAGTTCATGATCATCTCTTCTTTCATCTGCCTCATGTTTCATCCTAACTTCTTCCCTTTCATCATCTACTGCATCTTACTTATAGTACCATAAAAAGGGTCTGAAACACAGTCTGGTGAAGTACAACAATCCTTGATTTGCATCTGCGCAGCAGACAGGAAGGGTCTACTCTAACTGGAACCTGTAGCATCACCCCTGGGCCCTGACTGCCATAGTGGGAGACAGGACAAATGGAAGAGGAATTAAAAAGCCTCTTGTCTACCAAGGCTGATTGACACGGCCAGGCCAGCGACAGAAAGGTTAGTGCAGGTGCTGGTATTCCCTTGGCTGTGTCATCATGCTGGACAAGGAGTGCTGTCTCACTTCTTTTTTTTTTTTTTAGCTCTGTCTTTCTGTCTCTCTCCTCTCTCACACACTAAGGCTCATTATAGAAATGCTCTGACCCTCAGGGACTTCACTTACTTCTCTGTCTCTCTTTCCAGTCCACAAACCTTGGCGCTGGACAAAAGGCAACTGAAAGGCAATTTGAATTTGAAACAGGGACTGCAACAAAAACATGCAGCTTCCAAATGGAGAAAGTTTAGGAGACTTAGAGCCAGCTACTGGGAATTAGCCGTCTTCACACAAAAAGCAAAAATGTGATTCTGACACTATCCAGCCAGCTAGTGTACTGTATAGACAGCAGCTACTGCAGAAGGAGAGAAGAGGGCGAGGGAGGGAGAGATGGCAGAGCCTGAAGGCAGGAGTAGTGAACGCCAAAGGCCCAGCTAGTAGGACTGAAAAGCATACACAACCTCTAGCAGTTGACATACACAACATACAAACAACAAGCGCGCACACGCGCATGATGAGAAAGAGAGTGAGAGGGGCATATTTTGAATTCTGTGGTGGAGAAACAGTCTTGGTTTCTACAGCTCAACAATTTTAAAATGAGGTTTTCTAGTTGTGCCTAGCCAGAACGGAAAATCCCACTGGCACACCACACAAAGTCCCAAATACCACAGTTAAAGAGTTCCTTAAGAAAACCTGTTCAATTATGAATGGGTGAGTGACACAGAGGTGTTTTGAAGACAGTAACTGTTATCAGAACATAATGATATTAGTCAATACATAATCATCAGCTATTTTCAATCGGAGTCGGAGTCGTGTCAGTATCCAATCAACACATAAATGGTAAAGCGCCTCTTCGGGGTCCGGACAGCTGAAAGCTGCTTATTTTGTGCGTGGCTGCAAGCTACGCAGTATGAAATTGAGAACTACACAATGAAACCTCGAGTCAAGATGCAAAAGACTACCGATCAGTCAGGTAATGTGTTAATATAGTTGGTTTTAACATTTCCCCACAACTACATTTCTTCATCTAATCAGAAGCGATACAATTTATCCAAAGTGTCAAGGCGCGACAGAGCCCGTGCCCTAGTGCGCACCATCACCACCCACCACCGCAGACCTTCACGCAGGACAGCTGGGGTCGGGTCACTTACCTCTGATTATCGGTGGAAAGGTGCTGCCGAGACAGCGACAGTGTGTGTCCCGCTGGCTACAAAAATCCGAGAGTGGTCAGAGGAGAGGGGAGACTGGTTAGTGCGTTATCAGATCCTGTGTAGGGCTTTGCAAACTACTCCTCCCTGTCGCACCTGTCTCTGGCAAAAAACTGTTCTCGTACGTCGCCCTGACATCCCTAGGACAACTGTCTCAGGGGTTGTCTGTCCGCGCCCCCCTGCTGGTTTCAACTCACACACACGGCACCACCTGTCCCCGATGCAAAACAGCCCACAAAGAGCTTCTATCTCGTGCAACGACACATGGCATTCCCCGTTAGTCTCTGCAGCAATACTCGTTCACAGACAGCCGTCCGAGATCCTCAAGTAATCGGGAAACGCTGGAAGCAGTGAATGGTGAAAGAGAGAACGCAATAACCCATCCAACACCCCGCTGGCACCAACCCAACTGCGACGTTTGGAAATTACATCTGCCGCTCTCGTTGACCGCCCATTTGTGTTATCAGTCTTCCGTTCCCACAATAGTTGGTCTATTTTCCCGCTGCGCACGACTGCTGCTCTGTCATTGCTGCGTCTTTTTCACCTCGGGTCTCAGTGAAAGAAAACGCCGTTTTTCTTGCCTGCTTATGTGCCCCACGTCCAGACAGAGTCTGGCTCAAGGGTCAGTACAGGATAAAGTCTCATTCATCGGTATATTAAAAATAGTTCCCGTTCCTTAAAGAGCGCTCTGGAGCTTCGGAGAGATAGGAGGACCACTGGGTTTGTCTTCTAGCGGTAGTATGAGCTACAACATCTCCAGCACTGCTCCCTGCTGTCATCCACAAGAGACATCCAAAGCCTGGTGGTGCCAAAACCTGAAGCAGAATTACGCAGTGACTGGAATGGAATTGATTAATGACTAATTAGTTTTAATTCCGAGGCGGCAAATCCAGAAAACCCACACAATGGCTAAGTCTAGCTTCTTACTGTGGTAGCAACTTGCCGATTCTGTGTCGGAAATATTAACTGTGGCAACGTGAGGACTGAAATTGTTCATCTTGTTACACAGCCTAAGCCAACCTTGGGCGCGCACTGGAAGAGAGCGGTATGGATAAACTTATTCCAAGGATCCTTTATACACAAAAGACAAACAACAGGCGCCTTAGAAAACCTCGGACATGTTACACTTACAGCGCAGGCGTCAAAAGAGAACCACATGGCTGACTAAAAGCAGTTTCTCGATCATTTGGAACAATATTACTAATATTTGTAAATAATTAGGTGGTCAGGTAATATGCAAAGTACCATATCACAGGTGGATCCAATCAACTGAAGGGGCAAATTTGTATCAAACACAAGCACTGGTCTTATGAACGATGCTTTCAACGCACTCTATTCACATAATGTGCGTTTTACTATTACTTTCTTATACTTTGCTGTTTGTCCTATGATCTAATAACAATATATGGAGAATTTACAGTATTTCTCAGCTAGTAACTGAAATATAATGCAGCTTCAGAGTGGTCAACAAGACAATAAGTATTAAATGGGACATTTTGAACATCTGGCAGTGAAGCAGGGGATCAATTAGTTCATTTGCCTCTAATTTCAGTACCATATAAATATGCATAAATGTTTTGCAGGACATATACTTTTAGTGGAAACAGTTTGTTTTCATTACAATTCCTGAAAGTTCCATTCATTTTATTACATCAAATAATTCATTACACTTGAAAACTGTTTGCCAACAGAAACAGGAAAGAGAAAAAGGTTTCCATCCTTGAGTTTAAAGACTTTTGGCATGTAGATCTTCTCCATGAACCTAGATTAACACATACAGAGGAATAATTTAGTTCCATTAAATCTCAATAAGCTTCCAGAAATGGGTGTTACATCAGTTGCGTCGTAGTGACTCTTCCATGGACATAGTTCATCTGTTCATACTGAGTGTAAATAAAAACCTAAAATGTACTTAATACCAAAATTAGCATATGGAAAAGCATTTATGTACATCAGTGTCAGTGGATAATGTGTTGGTGCTGCATGTGTTACAGGACTTCTCCATGAAATTGCTGGGAGCCTAAGGCACTTTTAAGCTTTGATATATGAATAATAAATCCTTGAAATTATGACTTCTATGGGCTTTAAGGCTCACTCTTTTAATAAATCTTCTCCAAGCAACCTGACAGCCTTTTCCATATAATCTAATATGTTGGATGTTGGAAGAAATGCCAGAGTCTCTTCTCTTGGCACATTATGGATAATGTTATACAAATTCCTTTTTTTTGAATATGTTGAAGTTGTGTGGAGCATATAATGTTGTCTAACATTAATATTATTGTAGAACATTGTTTTGGGTTGCTTGTTGTTGGCTGATTTGTTTTTTCTTACAGTAAACAGTCAAACGTTGCCTGTACCAATACTGTTCATCGTGCTTACCTTATCACCCCATGCTGCCTGTGACTTTGTAGTGTCCACAATTAAAACTTAAAAACTAAGTTTCTTTTGTCCAGAGGAGACCTGCTGAAAGTCATTCTACAGGCTGACTGTGGTTACCACGCTGGACACTGCTCTGAAAGCAAGATCATCATTCAGGCACCAACAGCAGAATGATTTCTCCTTCTATACTTGAATTTTGTCCTTCTCCTGAGCTTACATACAAACTAGCATGCCTCATGTGTCTGTAAGAACCTATTCTGTCTTTTATGGCATTCAACTAATGCAGACGCTAAGGACTTGTTGTTGCACTGCACTGTCACCCCACCTAAAGTTAGAGTTTGAAACTAACCAAACAGAAAAGGAACCATTTTGGTCAGAAGTTATGCAAAGGTAGCTTTACTGCAGAGAAGCACAAGATGTGAAGAGCTATCAAGTCAGTGAAAGGACAAAGTAACATCCACCAATAAATAGCACAAATCACATTTGTCGCAAGGGGCTTTTCAATGTGCACCACTTATGACAACCTCTGTCTTTTAATCCTTGAAAAGAAGACGAGGGATCCCTCTTCCAGGATGGCCAGAAATTCAATAGATTTCATGTCTACGGGGTAAATCAACATAATAGATTTACATTATGGACAAAAATTGCATACTGTAACAGCGTATACGAAGAACATTATATAAACATGTATGAGCAACAAGCAGGGTTAGAGAGGTACAGTGATTTCCAAAGGTTTGCAATAACCCCATCAGCAGGCCAACACAGACTATAACCAGGTTTAATAGATCTACTGAGATCGAAACCTACCAGTAGGAGAATAGTATCAAATCCAAGGCAAGATACTGTATAATGAACACGATGCCACTACTTGAAGTTATGCCATACAAATGAATTTAACTTTGGATTTAAATGTCTCCACTGAGTCAGACAGTCTGGTGTCAGCAGGGAGGTTGTTGTAGGCAAAAGGGGCACGATAGGAAAAGGCCCTGCAGCCAGCAGACCTCTTTTTAACTCTGGGTACAGACAGGAGTCTGCATTCTGTGAGTGGAGAGCACAGAGATGAATATAAGGTTTAAGGAGATCAGAAGGATATGACGGGGCATGCCCATATAAGATTATGTATGTCATTAGCAGCTTCTTGATGTCTGCCTGATCTGAGCCAGTAGAGGGACTCTAAAATTGGTGTAGAGTGGCTGAACTTTCTGGATTTAGTTAAAATTCTAGCTGCAGCATTTTGAACCATCAGAAGACTTTTAGTGCTAGTATGCTAATATTTTTATGCTACTTTGTCTTTCTATTCCAGTACTGTATTTTTCCTTTTACTCACTAACATTTACTTGAGAGGTATAGCCAAATTAGTTTACCGTTATGTTTTACATACAACATATGATTAACTTATGAAATTACAGTTTTTATATACAGTAGATAGAAAGCTTCACCTCAGTCTGCTGCAGCGTGACATGTTAATGTTTCAGTAGTTATTTAAGCTGGTAATAGCCAAGGCAATAAATTGTATTTCATAATATAAAACTCTTTTAAAAACCATTCTGTGTAATGAGACCTTAAATACAACACTATGTTCACCAACTCTGTGTGTTGTTTGGTGCTCAGCAAGTAGTGCACAGCGAGTGTTTCCATATCTACTTCAAAATTGAAATACAGTATGTGTGTATTGTGTTTTTAGCTTGTTTCCACTGTCCTCATGAGGTATAAAAATCAATTATTGCAGGTTTAAGTACGTTTTTTGTGATATACTATGAATGTAGGACTTTTACTTTTAAATGGCTGCATTGTCACTTTTCCTCATCAGTGCCCAAAATAGGAGTTATTTATAGAAACCTTGCAGTGTAACACTGACTAGATATAGGGAGGTTTTACAATGCCTCTCACTGTACTTAGTATAGTTACTACTGACAATTTTCTGTTCTAAAACGAAATAGCTTTCCAAAGTTTTTTAAAATCCCCACATTAGTTTTATCACTGTTTCCATTTACTTTACACAAAAGCTTTGAGCCATGTACAACAATTGAATTCTCACCATTTCATCTCCTGTCAAAGTTTGTGTGCTGAGAATAAATACATAAAGGCATATTCATTCTGCTTATCCGCTTCCTTTAATCTCATCAGTGTGTCAGAGTCAGACAGGCCGACCTGAGCCAGATAAAAAGGAGACCAAGTGCCATGAGAAAGTGAGAAAGCTTAGTGAAAAACTACATTTTTTGATGGGGAATGCACTTGTTAATTTTTAACAACATGGGGGAATGAGGAGGGGCAGCACAGCCACCCTCCTCCTGAGGTACAGTAATAAGGTAGGAGAGGAGAATATTGTCTGTGTGTGTGTGTTAGTAGCATGATATGTTAAGTTAGATTAAGTTAAATTTGTCTGCTAACTTCCATTTCAGCATAAATATGAAGGCAAAATAAAGATGCCTCCAAAGTAATCACATGGATCATCAAGCTACAAACAAAGACACCGACTGCATGCAGGGTTTGTGTGATGAGACCCACTAACTTCACAGACTCAGCAGCCATTCTGACTAATCAACTAATGGAGCTCAGTAAGTGATTTAACGTTTTGACAACTTTCTTATTATTAAAAAATACAACAAACAAATTGCAAATTGATTTGAAATTATATGTAATACAACTGGGAGATTCAATGGATAATATTTAGATACTGTAAATAGAAGCAGATGTTTAAATTTGTAATAACCTGACTTCAGTCCTCACTTAGGGTCTAGTCCCAAAATGCTGGGTCCTACACTTCAGAGCAGGTGTTTACTAAGCAAGAGGGTGTTTTTCTTTTAAACTCAGTTGCCCTATTTTACAGCGCAATACATTTTAAAAAGTCTGGTGTCATTCAGTCATTTTTCCATTAGTCATTAGAGGAAAATTTTGATGTACACAACTTTTATACTCAGAGAGCACAAAAGTCCAATTCAGTGGTCTAAGGATCGACACAGATTGTAAAGCCCCACTATTTTATTTATACATAAATGAAATTTGACTTGATCCTCCTAGTAAACTGTCTTGGATGTGTAAAGAATTAGAATTCCCCTAAAAGAATATCAACATCATCATTGTGGCTTTCTATAGGTCCCCCTTAACTCCATCAATGATGGGAAGTGTGAAGCTTAATCAAAGACAACCTAATACAAAACTGCAAAAGAAATACAGTTGTTATTAAAGAAGACAAACAACTATTGTTCAACTCTTTGACTTACTTTGTGTGATTTATCTGCTCTCAGTTTTATAATTTTAACTTAATGGATATAGACAAGACTGTAAGTTGTACAGTACATAAGATAAGTTATCAAAATACTCAACAAATACTGCGTCCAGACTAATAATCCCTAGCACAGTGAGAATCTGTATTAAATGAAAATACAGAAAGTGACCTTGATAGTGACAACATGCCTGGTGTGAGACTCTGCTGCAGTATTTATATAAAGCATCAAGGCAGTGAACTCCGTTATGAATTGTTTCTCTTCACAGCAGGGACATGAAAACAGTGAAGCAAAAAGGTTTGAATAACAAAGTATTGTTTGGCTGTGAATGAGAGCAACAGCACATCTGCTTTCATAAATGATGGATGTTTCATCTCCTGCATGTGAAACAAG